AAATGTTCGGGCATATGGATAAATAATGCGACTTAGTATCTAAGGTAGCACGAAAGATCCGTAATGACTAAGGGTAACAGGAATGCAGCTGTAATGAAAAATAGGGCACTGTGGAACTACAATAGGTGTGACATTTTGAGAGGGATTTGGAAAGGTGCCATGGTCCTGTGTTTGACATCCAGCAATGCGGTCCTGTGCATGAAATTAGAGGTTCAAGTGAGATTGGAAATTAAACAACGTGGCATAGGTAGACTTGCTTTTGGAATACCCCAAATCAGTGGAATACCCCAAATCAGGGGGTACAGGGTGACATGAGATGAACATTGCTCGAGTGCAGGGAAGCTAGCAGCAAGATAAAATTTGAGGAGCAGTTGAGAAAAATGGGAGAGGAGCTTTCGGCTAGGAAAATTTTCAATTACCTGTACATGAAGAATGTCGATACTGAATGGAGGAAGCGAATTTAAAAATTGTCAAGCAAGTATTTAGACAACAGCAGAGTACCAAGCGAAAAGGAAACATCAGTCAAGAAGAAGGTGAAGGAAACAGAGAGGGACATATGGAAGATTGGAATGCTTACAAAATCATCACTGGAGACCTACCAAACTTTCAAGCAGGAAGTTGCAAAAGAAAAGATCTACAATGATTCCCGGTGTAGTTCTCTGTTGTTCGAGGCCAGAACGTGGGTATTGCGGAATCAAGACATACCGAGCCAAATACGAAGGCACAGACACGGTATGTAGTGTGTGTGGAGAGGAGTAAGAAACGGCTGGACATGTGATAATGTTCTGTAAAGGACTCCACCCTATAGTCCGAGATAATGCCACGGAATTTTTCTAAGCATTGGCGTTTAGGGACAGTGAAGGCAAAATAGACCTTAAATGGGTAGAAATAACTAAGAGGATTGGTGGCTACAATCAAGGTGCGAGTGAAATTCAATTTTTGATCACATAGGGATAGTACTTAACTTTATGGCTAGATGATGTGAGGCACCGCCCGATTTAAAGGGCACAGCCGGATACATTCATTCAAGGCGCTCACCGGGGAGTGACTTCGATTTATGTGTAGAAGGTTATTGCTGTGAAGCCTCGCTTGTTTATTACGCTTGATATACACATGTACATGCACATCAAGAAATGAATACACTTTGACTTTGCACAACGAAATTGATTTCCTAGTTTTATATGCAGTCTATTTGCTACCAGTGTTTTTGTCATAATAATGCTGCGACAGCAGCAAGAGTTCACCCGTAGCGCGGTCCTATTTTGACGCTGCAGCACTAAAAAGAGTGTTTCGCTGAACTTCTGATCTCGGCCTTGTCATCTTTAGTTCATAGCAAAAAAGCATTATTGTACATAAGATATAATTTGAGTTGTTTGAAATAACTATACCAGCTCGAGGACAAAGGCACGCTAGAAAAGCGATAGTCTGCATGTGTTTGTGCGTGTATATGAGTGCATATGTGCTCGCGTGTGCGCATGCGTAGATATCACTGCAGCATTCTGTTTGCTTAGCAAAATGAACGAAAAAATTTGTCAGAAAACTTTCAACTATTGTATTACAACACTTAGACGTGCTCTGTTAAGAACTTGAATCAACATGCTACTCTTGCCAGACTTGCTGTTAGCGTCACACAGATGGCTTCATTTTGGCGGGCGCCCGCCGTGGTGGTCTAGTGGCTAACGTACTCAGCTGCTGACCCGCAGGTCGCGTGATTGAATCCCAGCTGCGGCGGCTGCATTTTCCATGGAGGCGAAAATATTGTAGGCCCGTGTGCTCAGATTTGGGTGCACGCAGATTTGGGTGCAAGAACCCCAGGTGGTCAAAATTTTCGGAGCCCTTTACTACGGTGTCTTTCAAAATCATATGATGGTTTTGGGATTGTGGCAGCTTGGGCTATTTGGTATGGCATGACGATAGTTATAGCGCGAGAACAAAACGATGACACAGAGACAAGAAGTGTCCTTCGTGTCCTTCTTGTGTCTGTGTTGTCGTTTTGCTCTCGCGCTATAACTATCGTCGTGGTTTTGGGATGTTAAAACCCACATGTCAATCAATCAATCTTCTACGACGCGGCAACAATGCAAGAGCAGTTGTTCGATTTTGTTGGCTGCAGATGACCTCCGAGATAGCGGGCACGCAGTATAGTTCTCTGCGGCCGTCCCAATCGCATGGAGACAGAGAGGGTGTTTCCAGAGGTGGGCGAGGCCCCGTTTTTTCTCCTCTATGTGGCGCTCTCATAGAGGACAGAAAAGACTGCCACGTTGTTGATGCACATTGCATGTGGCGAGGAAGACAATGGTTTTGAGCTTTTATATAACCTCGCCTTCATTTAGAAATGTCGGGTCAAGGTTAACAAGAGGTAAAGTCAATGCTGGGGCATATATTTTCTCAAATGGGCTTTTTTCTGTATATTCGCGCCACCCATATTAGAGCACTTATAATTGCAATGCTTAAGCAAGTGATGTCCATGCGATGGAAGCTTAGTATACTTCGAACTTACTATACTGACTCTACTTGAAGTGGGCTGTATTGTATGAGTAGGAAGTGGGCACTTGCAAAGAAAAAAAAATTACAACCCAGTCCGCAAGCAAAGTCAGAAGAGTGTCATGCTCAATGCTCGTGAGGTTACGTTTGATGAAGCGGGTTCCTTTTCTTTCCTTTCACGTAACTAGCACTACTTTTCTCTGTATCGCGGTTTGAAGAATTCTTGCAGACGTGCTCGTGTAATTACTGCTGCGCCACGACAAGTTTTATTGCTTCTTAGAAGCGTTCTACGCTTCTTAGGCTGGCGCGCCTGTCGTTCTTGTTAGCCTTAACCGGTCCTCTCTATAGATAAAGCGCATTAAGAGGGATTGTTCAATGACGAGCAAAACGCTGCTCAGCGCTTGAGGGATGTACATAAGAAGCAATAAAACGATGTCGCTCTGCGCGCCTGCAGCTGTGAATATGTTGGTGCGCCTGTAACAATTCTTGAAACAGGGTTACAATTTTAATCAGAGGTAGTCCTGAGAAAGAAAAGGAATCCATTTATTCGCTCGTAACCTGTAAACGTAGAACGCGGCATGTTGTTTTTTCTTTCAGATTAGGCTGTCAGTATTGATTTATCTCTTGCGCGCCGAGCAGCCAGAAGATTGTGGCGTTGATTCTTGCTTGTATGCAAAAAAAATAATAAACATGCACACATTAGAGTCTCCCGTGCGCTGCTTTCTGCCGTGGTCTTCACCGCTACTAGAATCTACAGTGAATAGGCTCTCTTGCGATAACCCACGTGGTATCGCCTCGAGCCAGGCGCTCGAGGCGATACACGTTCATTGTGCTGGCGAGTGTGGCGGTTCAGTCAGTCGCAGAGAAACATACCCCGGGCCTGCCATCTAGGAGACCATGGGCTGGATAGCATGTTACTCGTAATTTACATCGGGATTTACAGTAAACATGCGCAATATTGAGCCAAGAGGTCTTCAGGGTTGGGCACGTCAACGGAGTCAAATCAAAAGGCAATGTTCCCGCACTTAGATAGTAGCTGTAATCATTTCTGAACCAATCACTGGTCACACGGGCTGTCACATCTTGATTCCTGCTTCGAATGACATTGCCAATTTGCTTTTCGCATGGTAAAAGAAGCGTGTAGGCTATGTTTATCGTGGCAGCGTGTAGTGTATTTCGCGATGTCTTGCATACTCAGCACAAAGATGCTCTCTGTTTAGGTTTGGACTCACTGTTTTATTGCTTATCTAAAATCATTGAGAAGTGTCTCTGCAAAATAAAGCACTCTAGATGTACGTTACAGGACTGTTCATACTATTGATTGATTGATATGTAGAATTTGACGTCCTAAAACCGCCATATTATTATGAGAGATGCTGTGGTGGAAGGCTCTAAAACTTTTGACCACCTGGGGTTCCATAACGTGCACCTAAATCTGAGCACACGGGCTTACAACATTTTCTCCTCCATCGAAAATGCCGCCGCCGCAGCCGGGATTCGACCCCGTGTGCGGGTCAGCAGCCGAGTGTCTTAGCCTTTAGATCATTGTGGCCGGGCATACTAGTACTATTAGAAAGTGTCATTTTCTCAATATAGTTGAAAATTCACCAGAGTTCATGATTAAAAAGTGGCCATGTCAATCATACACGATTCTTCCTGCAAGAACACCATTTAGCTTGTTCTCGAATTGCGCAGTGTGCCATTTTATTGTGTATTCAGATTAGTAGTACCAAGGCTAGGTGCATTTCTTTTTTCATATGAAAAAAATGTACACAACTCAGCAGTGATTCGAGAAAAAAAATTCATTACTGTACTAGTAGTGGTATAGCACTGTCTATTATCACTTGCCACGAATATTCTATGCGCCTTCTTTTGTAATGGTAGTGGGAGTGGCAGCATAACAATTTGAATTTTGCACGCTGTGCACTTTCGTGCATATGATGCATATGTTCGGATGTACCACGTGTGGTATTTATACTGAAAGAATATTGAGTTGCTGTACTACAGACCTTATTAAATTGTGCCACTAAGGGTTGTAGTGTTGTGCAAATATTGTGACCTAAACAACTTCTTCTATAGCACATAAGAATGTCCCTAAAAGTGGTACTTCTCTTGCTGATTTCCTTCAAAAACATTGCTATATCACCGTCAGGCCACACAAAGCACATTTGCTGCCTTTTCTAAAAATAATGTTACAAGAATACCCACTACATCGAATAGCTTCAACGATGAAGAAATTTCAAATGACTTCTGCGTAGATGATTTATTTGCCTTATATAAATGTAGAAGCTCTGTTGCTTACTCTATAAAGGTATAACTGTATGTGTTGATGATTCACACAACAGTGAGATGAATTAATGAGAACACATTAATTAAAGTCGGCTCATCTTCTCTAGCACCGTTTTATGCATTCTCGTAAGGAAACCGCTTATGTGTGACAGCTGACAGCTACAATCGAGCTCAAAAATCATGTATTTTTGATGCACATATCTTACAATAGCGATATTTTGTTGCAGAAAGAGGAGCTGCAGCAGAGTCACAACCTAGCCATGATGAACATTACCAAGGACCAGTACCGAGCTGAAATGGACGTTCAACATAAGTACATGGATTCGGTGAGCTAATATTGTTGTTTCCAAAAAGGAGCAGACATTGTACTACCCATTTGTGTGCTAGAGCTGACTGTAGTTGATGTCGTAATTTTAGGGGGGAAGGGGGGTTGAAGCTCTATTGGGGCGCGATGTGTTGGAATGAGAGTGCACATACATATTTGCGCATCACCCACAAGTTCTTTCAACACTCTTCAAATAATGCTCTATAAAACACCCGATACTTGGTCATCAGTTATATAGATGCACGTATTTCTTTTCAGTCTGGCTGTTCGAAGAATACCGACCCCGGTCCATGCACACTGGCTGAATTATCGTTATTTTCATGCCTCCGCACTACAGAGGAAGTAGTTCTGACAATGCCAATAACTATTATGCATATAACCATTCTCTTGCCATGCTCTACTGATAGTAAAATAATAAAGCTGAATTGACATAAAACAGTTTGTTAAGGTACGCAGTTCAGCATCAGCCAAACAATATATCTGTTGTTTAAATTGCACTCCCTGCTGCGGTAATCCTCGGAGTCTACAAAGAATGTGATGCCCATCTCAAGGGTGACATTTTCATGCAGTACTATTGTGGCACTAAAGGAAACAATGCCACATTTACGTAAAATTATTCTTTTACAGCTTCACAAAGCAAAACATTAGCATAACTACATTGACTAAGATTGCTTGTAATGTTTTATTATTTTCTTTTACAAAACCTTCGCTACCAAATTTCTTTCATGTCTGCTGTAACCATGGCAACTGTGACTCAAAGCGAGAAATGACAAATTGATCGGAGATTGGCATCGCAAATCTTGTTTTTTGTGCTGCTGTGAATACCACGTTTGCGTTTGGAATCACCATGCTTTTCATCGTTTTTTAGGTAAATGTCAATGCTTCATTTGATGTTCTGTTTTAATGAAATATAAGAGCAAAGACATAGTGGTTATTAAAGGGGGTAATTGCATACATTGCTGTTAATGTTTGCCAAGGCGATGTACGAGGCTAAAGTGGCGGTGACTACAAACTACACATGAATTTTTCCTTGCTTCTAGAACATGCACTGGCGTTGCCAGGACCCATTCAGCCTTTGAATGTCTAACTTTATCAAAGCTTTTACTGGAACAGAGGGCCCCTTTTTATGACTGTGTTTCTATATATATATTGTACCGGTGCACATCGCCCGCTCTGTGCTAGTGAGAGAAAAGACGACGTTCGTGTGTCACGCTCTCGACCTCCAGGTTTTTTGTGCTACAGCTGTCTTTTTTGCCTGTGGCGCGTCTTTTGCGGAAACAACATGCTTGTTACATTTGGTGGTGCTGCTGCTGGTTAGTGTCCTTCCTCGTCCCGGAGCTCTGCAACTGGACTTTATCATCTGCTCCCGAAATGGCCGACAGCGCTAGCTACTTCTCAAGCACCACCTACCCTTGTGTGCTGGCATGCTTCATCAACCAGCCAACTTCCTGGCCTGCTCGAGGAATACAACAGCATCTGGCGCTCTGGTGCATTTCTGGTGACATGGAAGGAGCCAATCGTCGTCCCAGTTTGAAAGAAGGGCAAGCCCTCATCAGAACCAACTTCCTACAGGCCAGGTCTCGCTCACATCAGCTGCTGCGAAGGTGATGGAAGCCATGGCCCTCAAGCGACTTCAATGGATTGCTTCTGCCCTTAACTTCCTAGCAGACGAGCAGAGCGGTGTCTGCAGCCACTGATCCACCGCGGATTCCATCTCTGACGAGGTCACCACCCTCGAGGATGCAAAGCTTTGTAGTGACGCCAGATATTGGTTCTCCTCTACATCAAGAGTGCCTTTGATTGCCTGCCTCATGCGGCTGTTTTGGACGCTCTTCATGCAATGAGTGTGTGCGGCAGACTTCTTGAGTATATAGAGGAGTTCCTCAGGGGCAGAACTTTCTGTGTCCACATAAGTGGTACCGCAGCCCGCCTCGCCCGACCACTGCTGGAGTGCCACAGGCCAGTGTTGGGGCCTACTGCTCTTCGATCTTGCCCTCGCGTGCATCCTGGATTATCTACCGTACGACTCAGGAGTACGCGGTGGGTGTGGCGATCTATGTGGACGACGTCGCCCTCTTCATGATTGGACCCACTACGCATGGAATTCATGTGCGACAGAGCATCAAGCGCTCACTTGAGCCAGTAGATGCCTTCATCTCAAGCATTAGGCTCCAACTCTCCCCTGCTAAGACTGAAGCGCCTCTCATCCACCCCTCCCCGAAAGCACGATACGTCGTTTGGCACCTCTCATTGCGGGGAAGCATTTACCTTGGCGGCACCCCGTACGGCACCTCGGTATTACACTGGACCACCGCCTGAGTGAACTTACTTACAGCGCAACACCAGAAAAAATACAGGACACGGAAGGAGTAAAACAGAAAGAAAAGACGGCGCTCCTTCCCTGTCCTGTATTTTTTCTGGTGTTGCGCTGTAAGTAAGTTCACGATGGATCCTAACAAACTGGCCCAACTTACCGTCTTATCACACCGCCTGAGCTGGTAGCCAACTGTCCCCAACCACCGCCAGAGCTCTTGCCGTGTTGCAAGGGTGGCTTCCTCCCTCCAGACATCGCCCTGCGAATGTTTAAAGTTGTTGCCTGAGTGAGGGCCCTTTACGGTTTCTCTCTGGTCGCATTGCAAGCGTCTCAATGGGAGACTCCCGAGACGGAGGAACGCGGCGTCATACTCTTTGGAATGCTTCGCACCTCACCAGTGGGCCTGACGTACGTCGAGGCCTACCGATTTCTCTTCTCGTTTAACCACGTTGTAGCGCATGCACATGACGCGAAGGGGAAGGGTGCTGGTTAATCGACTTCTCTCGCTGCCCCACACTCGCAATGGGACACAGCGCGCTGGAATATGACGGCCTTGATCATCACTGATCTTCCTGTCTCTAGACTCTTGCTCATCCCGCCTCATTGGGACTCCCGGTTGGCCATATAGACCATAATTCCAGGAATCCTGCAGCAAAGGGCACATACTTCGGCTTGTCCTACTACAGGAAACCTGCACCCCGATTGAGGCAGCGGTAAGCAGAGGAGCGTCCTGATCGAGGAGCGGTATGCCGATGATGTTTACAATAATGGCTCGGCGAACAAGGATGGCTCGGTGGCTGCTGCCAGCATCATTTCAGCACCCGGTGGCGAGAACAATTGCCATCCATCCTTCTTGGCATCATCTACGACCGCTGAGCTTGGGGCGCTGAACTTGGCGGCCGATCAGCTGGCCGAGCTCCTGCCGCCATCGGCCATAGTCTTTTCCGATTCTCGAGCGGCGCTCCTCACCCTTGCGAGAAAAGAACATGGCTCATCAATCGTGCAATGCCTTATGCGTAGGTTTACGGTGTTGGTGAGAAGTGGGTGTGCTGTGTCCTTTCAGTGGGTGCCCTCCCACCTAAGAGTACGCAGCAATGAGGCTGCCGACGCGCTTGCAAAGGACGCCCACGATTCGTGGACACTCACCACAAACTTCACGCACAGTTTCGATGTGGTGCGACAGATTATCGCCCGCCACGTTGGGGCTCTCCACCCGGACCCCTGCACAGCAAGCAGACCAGCAATCCCGTCTCATGTCTGCCATTGACAGGACTTGGTCGGCATGCTTGTGCATTCCTGCTGCGCCTTCACACTGGATGCAGACAAACGGCGAACCGGCTCTTATGACACAGTGGCAGTGGCAGCCCTTCATGTGTTCAGTGCCAGGCAGATATTTGTCGCAGTCTCCTCAACTCCTACATGCAACTGGGACTGCCGCACATGAGTCCAGAACAACTCATGTTCCCCAGGGCTAACGATGCGGTCGTCCGGCGCGCGTTTCATGCGGTCCTAGATTTTTTCGGTGATGCTGATCTTATTACACGCCTTTAAAGATGCCCGTTACACCCGTGTGTGTGTGTGTGTGTGTGTTGTTTACCTTGCGTTGTGGCGCATGCTTCCTCTGACTGCCACGTGACTTTTTTTACGTTCGCCGCTTCGGACTGCCTGACGGCTATTCTTTTTTTTTTTTTTTTTTCTCCACCTCGGAAGCATGGCTCTGTCAGAGCAGACACCACCGTTTCTTTCTGTGATAGTCAGGGAGCGCCTACATCATCTTTCAACTTGTCCAGTGATTTTTTTCTTTTCTCTTAAGGGGGGACGCGGCTTTCGAATCGCGAAAAATGGCCAAATAAGCGATTTTTCGAAAATTCGATTTTCAATTTTCATAACCTGTTATCTCACCGATTCAAAAATATCATTCATAAAAACTGCGTAGAAGTGCTTAAAAACTGTTTTGTCACATAATGTGGCGCATAAGATCTTGGAAGTAGTGAAAAAAGTGTGTTTTTCAAGCCATGGTAAGATGGCAATGGTGCAAACCAGCATTATTCAATAGGCTCGTTAAGTTAGCCCACTCCGAACAGCACACTCAAGTGTGCTCGAGTGCGACACCAGCAGCGGAGCGCTTCAGAGCTTAACCCCGATTTCCGCCGACTGTCTTAGCGGGCCCGACAGTGGGGCGGCAGCAGTGTGCCATTTAGCGGCGGTAAGGACAAGTGGGGAAGCAAGCCAGAAGCTCATTATTGTGGTTTTTCTGGAAGTTACACTAGGTGCTCGCTCTCGTGCACTTAGCCTGCATCGTATTTGTCTACGATGCGGTTAGGGTGGCTAGAATGGGAAGGTGTGCGGAGCACCGCGGATTTTCCTTGCCAGAGAGGGTTCCTCTGCGTGCTAATGCCGCTAGGAGCGCTGCTGCACGGGGCTCTGCTAAAACTCCTGACCCTGTGTGGGACAGCCGCTGTTGTTGAATATTACCCGAATGAAGCCTAGCGCTCAACAGCACGGCGTCGATCCCCTCCCCCCCCCCCTTTCTTTTTTCGGTGTTTGTTTGGTTTCTATTGCATGTCGATCATGCTTTTTTAGCATTTAAGGAGAATGCCCTGTAAAATGTCGAAGATAGCTTAACATTCTTGCTCCACTCCTGACTTCAACTTTGGGCAATGGTAGGGGTGTGTAAATGTCCTAAA